TTTTTTCACCATATTAATCTACAGATTTTTCTATTGAAAAATCTAATATTTCAATTGTTTTCATTAAATAGAAAATGAGAAAAATTAAAATTAATTAGTCTCAAAAAAATAATTTTGGCCACCATGAGGAAATATTTAAATGGGGGGGGGATTAATATTAAAATATGGTTAACTTACAAAGAACTTGACTTTCGCGCGTAGTGTAAAATTTCAATCATATTTTTTTTTTTTTTTTGCTAATAACCGATTGTTAATCTTTTTTTTTATTATAAAATGTGATGTTTCTTTTTTGGTCTTCTAAGTAGTTATTCTCAATTTAGTGAAGAAATTTGAATAAAACATTTTATTGAATAAAAAACATTTTATTCAACGAATGTCGAGTTTTATAAAAGCATGCTTCTGATAGAATATGATTGTACATCAGATTTTGCTTATATTTAATGTGATTATATTTTATTTTTTAGTTTGTTTTTTCAATACTTGATACAATTTCAATAATACATACTTACTTATAAATACATACCTATGCATAGATTTGTAATAATATATTTATCAATTTCTTCAATATGTTTTAAATAATTATTAATACGAATACTTAGCCCATATTTTTAAGCATCTTAAAATTTCTCAACTTCTTATATATCGTCATAATCTTAAAATAAATTTTTTAATCACCCGTCCTCGCGTGTTTTGCAGAACTATTTTACCAACCATTTAATTAAATTTTAACATATTTAAAAGTCTTATTCTTTACGCTACCACGTATATTATTTTTTGATTAATGTACAAATAAAACTTTTTTTATAACTTTAATTTAGGTTTTCCTTTAAAGTAAAGTTCCTTTTTTTAATTATTGTCAAGTTTTTATTATTAGAAAACTTAGAATTATTGTCCGCTAGCTGAGAATAAAATCTTGTTCAGAAATTAAAAGCATTCTGCCGTTTAAAATTATTTGATGCGAAACACCTGATTATTTATTATGTACACCATTTCTTCGAAAAATGAAGATAAATTATTGATTGTCTTCTTTTTCTTCTTCTTTCTTTTTTTCTTCTTTTTTCTCGGGACTTTAACATAACTTATTTAAAATAGCGTTGATGTTTTTAAGTCACTAGAAAGAGTATAAAGACACTGAACATAAAAAGCTGTCGAATACGTAGCCAAAATTTTTAAGCGTCTAAAAATATCTCAGTATCAAAAATGTCGTCCTAACATCTTAATTGTGAAATTAAATTTTTTTTTACCTGCCAGCTTGTGATTCTCACAACCAATTATTTCACTATATCTTTTTTCTCATTCTTCATGCTACCACGTGGATTTTTTCCCGGGTAATATACCAAACTTTTTCGTTTAATTTTTATTAGTACCTAAAGTTTTTCTTTAAATTAACACTCGTTGTAAGTAATTGCTAAGTTTTTTTTTTTTTTTTTTGAGTTTTTGAACTATAGTCAGTTAGCTAATAAGATTTTAAAAACATTTCCTGTGTTAAAATTACTCAGTGCAAAACTTCTGACTGATCGCAGTAAATAAGTGAACCCTTTCCTCTAAGATTAAACAAACAAATTATTTATTTATTTACTTTATTGTTTCTTATTTGTTTGGTTTGTGATAAGTAAATACATATTAATACAACTCAAAAACTACAACTATTTGCTTTGTTTTTTAAATGAAAAAATTCGAGCCGCAATTTTATTTACCTTACATATACATTTTGACGTTACATCAGTGGCGTAGCGAGGGGGGAGCAAAGGGGGGCATCATGCCCCGGGCGCTACACACAAAGGGGCGCCAAATGGTCAGCAAAACAAAAAAAATTGTTGGATAATTTTTATTTTTATTATAATTTATTTCTGGAAAATATATTTTAAATTTAGTGCCAGTGAAATATAATAAATGTTAATTCGTAAATAAAAAGGAACACTAATCAAACTGTAATAATATATTCATAATAGAAATGACACGTCTTTTCCACTGGGCTGACTCGACCTGTGTCTGTCAGCACTTCCTTATGGCATCTACGCTGTGTGGTTACATATATTATCTCCAAATATTTGCAGTGTACAAAGTACAAACATCAGTGTACAAAGTGTTTGTATGTTTGTACAGTGTACAAAGTACAAACATTCTTTCTTTCAGAACACTATTTATTTTTGTTTCTATAAACGCAATGTAGCTTACGCTTGTTATTTTAAAACGATAACAATAGCACTCTAATGTACTTATATGTACAGTCACGGAAAAAAGTATCCCGAAAATAACAACTAAAAGATTGTCTATTTTTTAATATAGATACTTCTCAGACACACAACAAATACAGCGTTTTGCTGTTTCTAGGAAAGGACACAAACGCCGTATTTGTTGTGTACCTGAGAATTATCTGTTTCAAAAAATAAATGATTCTTTATTTGTTACTTTCCGGATACTTTTTTCCGTGACTGTACATATCCGTGACACTTGCGACAGGTTGTGGAATTCCGCTACAAGTTAGGTAAATACCCGAAATATTAACGTTTAAGTTATTTTGTGCCTGTATTTTTCAGTTTTGCGTCATTGTCATCGCGCTCTGCTTAGAATAAAAATGAAATGTTATTAAATGTTATAAGTTTAATGTTAGCATAAATTATAGTGTATATTTCACTGTGTTGCTACCTTTCAAGTTCAAGGCATTCTTGGTAAGTAATAAAACAAATAAGATTACTTACTACATCTACTCGACGATTCTATTATTCAGTGAATAGGGTATGAAAAAATTTGTTAACAGTATTCGATTAAACAAAGAGCTATTAATTTACCGCAAATATGGCTTATCTGGGGGACAACCTAAAAACAGCAACTTTTTTCTATGCTTGTCAAAACTATCACATTAATAAGCATTGGACTTTGACTTCTTTTAAAGCTAATTTTAAAAACCTACCTTAGTTTAATTTTAAATTTAACTAAAAAGGATAGTTAATCAACTCTATAGAAAATTAAGATAAAACTACCGAAAATCACTTACGGCTTGGAAAGAAACAGAACAAATAATAAGTATAAGTAGAACGGGAATTGATGTATCATTAGAAGCGAACATTCAGTCTGAAAAAGAACGGTGTCGAAATATATTACATGGCCACGTAGAGGAAGATTTTGTATCATTAAATACCTCATGCAAAGAATATTAGCTTGCATGAGGTATTTAATTATACAAAATTTTCCTCTACGTGGCCATCTTGAAAAACTAGCACTTCAAGATGATACAAATGTAGGAAACCTATTATCTTTACTTAGACTTGTAGTTCAGTTTGATCCGCTACTAGCAAATCATCTTAAACATGACACAGAAACTCCAAAAACTGTCTCATATTCGTCACAGATTCAAAATGAATTCATCCATCTTCTGGCGGTTCGAAATCGACTAATAAACGATATCAAAAGAAATAAATATTATGGACTTCAAAATCTAGTCTTGTTTTCTCAAATTTAATGCCTAGCTTCAGCCTATGACTTTATTTATTTTACTTTATTTATTTATTACTTTGCGAGTATATTTTACTTATAATATTAGATGGTTTTCGAATGGAGGGGGGGCGCTAAAAAGGTATTGTGCCCCGGGCGCGAGTTAAGCTCGCTACGGCACTGCGTTACATATACATTACATATTTAAGTTTATTGTGCCACCATTTCAATTTCTCAAGAATGCTCGCGAACTCTATTTAAAAAGAGAGTATCGTATCAGATATATGTAAGAAAACAAAGAAATCATAGTTGGTGTATTTGGTGATAAATGTAGCTTATCGTAATTGAATAGCATGCTGCACGACATTTTATTTAAGGTGAATTTGCAAAAGTTTCAGAATGGATCGAAAGATCGGGAATCTATTTGCAAATCATCTTTATCCAAAGGAAGAAAAAAATGTAACCTAAATATTTAGCAGAATGAAGCGATTTTTTTAAACAATGAATCATACAATACGCAACATATTATTTCAATATGTTATTCTTAAACATAACATATTTCAATGTTTTTAAAATGTCATTTGACATTCAGCAATTCCTTGAGTTATAGAAAAAAGAAAAATCATAAACTATATAAAACCATGAGCATGTGCATTAGAATTACTATAAAATTAAAAATTTACTTTTCAGGCACTTTTTTTTTTTTTTTTTTTTTTTTTTTAAATTTTTTNTTTCTTCAAACTTTCATGCCTAGAAGACTCGATTAAAGCTGCAAAAATGATTATCCCTAAAATTTTGTATACGGTTAAAATAAGTTATGTAAATTTGATTTCAGTATGAAATCCTTGTATAAATAAAGTAAAAACAGCATAAAAAAACCCAAATAATGTCAGATAAAAAGTTCATGCATTCAAATTCTAAAAGCTTAGAAAATCACAAATATAATTTTTAAATTGATTCAAATTTTCTTTTCAAAAGAGATTAAAAAGAAAAAAAGCTTGGCTTTTTGGATAGAAATCAGAATAAAAATTGTCTATTGCCTAGAAAATTCGAGATATTTTCTATTTACTATTATTAATTAAATTTCCCCGAGGAATCTCAGAACATTATTTCAATTTTTTTTATAGTCTGAACTTGGTTCCTTAACAATGGAGCAAAAATAAGTATTCCTCTCTTGAGTTAGTCTATGGGTCACCTTAAAATATTCATTTGTGACGGCGACTTTACTTGGCTGTTTTCTGGGACTATCGCCAAATATATAAATCTTCATTGCGACCCAATTTTTTCGAAATTTTGTCTACTCTCCCTACTTGAAAGGTCAGGATTCCAAATATGTAAAAAAAGCACATGTTTATTCAAAGAAAGTCCGTCTTTGTGTCTGATTTCGTGACTTAATTAATTGTTAGTGCTAATTAATTAGCATACTTGAGGTCAACCGATCGTTAGTACAAAAGTTATACAGGGCGAAATCTTTTTTTTTTTTTGCCCCCTGTTCATATGATCGCATGTGCGAGTCGCTTGCAGTGTGAATGCTCCCTTAGTTAATCCAACTCAACGAGAGGAATCAGCACACCATTTAAAGGGCAGAAATAAGAACGGAAAAAAATTAATTGTTAACCGCGCTAATACTGGTGAAGTTTTGAATTCGAATTCTCTGAATAATAAACACAAATTAAGATGAATGTCGTCAAAAGCAAAGACATTCTTGGAATTGTAAGTTGTTGTTCCTCTTAATTTTTCAGTCTTGTATTAATACCATTGAGTGACATTGCAACAATTAACTGTTTAAAAATTATTTTATTATTTGACATTTCTTTGTTGGAAATGTGGGATGGAATCGTGATCTTTAGCAATATAATTAACAAGTCTTGGCAGCTTTTGGCCAGCGACTCGCAACAATTGTGAATAAATATAATGTTCTAGCTAACCGCTATATATATATNTATATATATATATTGTAAGTTGAAAATCCATTTGGCTGCTATATTTAGTGCAACATATACAGATTAAGATACAGAAGAAACCTGTGGGAAGATTTCCATAATGAAATTTATGGCTAAATAATCGCAAAGTATTTTCAACTTCTGAATAAATAAATAAAAACATCACAAGGGATCAAATTAGAAGAGTATAACTTGTGGTAACTCCAAGACAAACTTTTACATTTAAAAAATAAATTGAAAGTTTAAAATCAATTTTAATCAACTGTTGTCAGGATATCGCCAGAAAAGTTTCTTCCTCTTAAGTTGGTAGGAGCCTATTTCTTTTAAGATGGTATTTACCACGATTTCTTCTTTGGAATTAAGAGATTTGTCTCTTTGGTAAATTATTAAAATTGTTTTGTCTGTGCTTCGAAATGGAATTCTAATGTGATACTTTGTCTTTATATTTTTATGTAGTTAAGAGAAAACATTGTTTGGTTCCTTAATGCACAATAATATATATGCAAATCTGCTAAGATTTCTGTATTTTTGCTCTTGTTTTCCGCCATTCTGTACCAAGAATGAAATCTTCCACATTTTTATAAATCCCAGTGTTCTCCGTAAGCGTTTATAGAAAGGCGGCCCACCCCACCTACCCTTTGATCTTATAAATGTGCCCTTTATGTAAAAATAAGCTTCCATCCTTTAAAAAAACTGCTTTTTTATTTATTTTTTCAGGTAAAAGGTTGTTTTTTTTACCATCTGTTTTAATGAAAAGTTCATTTTATTTAGTTAGTGATAATTATTTAATTATAAATATCATTCCTTAATTTTAGTAATATTTTTTTATGTTGAAAATTTGCGAGTAAACACTGATTGTTACACATTCTCTAATTTTTTCGTCTTTCACTGTAACTTTTTTTAATATATACTACTAAAATCTGTAAAATTTAATGAAACCTTATTTAGTGAAATCTTTTATTTTCAATTTAACTCCAGGTACATTTTTTAACGTATGATTACCATAAGATATGTTTTCTAATATATCTCGCATATTACTCATGTTTAGTTTTCTTATATATGTGTAATAGAAATGATTTTAATGTTTACAATTTTGTATTTATTATCTGTAGAGCAATGAAGAAACTCTTCAAATTGGCCGCAAAGTAGGGGCTAAGAAAAAGATACCAATGTAAGTAACAAGTTTCAGAATTGCCGGCCAGGTGGCCGAGCGGTTAGCGTTCTTGACTGCGAAGCCAATGGCTGCGGGTTCGAATCCCGCTCTGGGCATGGATGTTTCTCTCTGTGTTGTCTTCTGTTGTGTGTGATGTGTGAATGTGGCCCGTCCTATGAACGGGTTTGTGGCAGTGTGGCGTGGGTAATGTTGCTCGCCTCCGTGACTTAGGTTCACAGGTGCCCACTGGGTAACGCTAAATGAGCAACACTTCCGGCATCTTCCGAGGTGAAGAACGAGAGTTCAAGTGCCTGCCGTTATTTAAAAAAAAAAAAAAAAAGTTTCAGAATTTGTAATTTCACTAAATAACTTATGTTTGTTAAACTATACTGATATTGAAAAAGATTATTTCCCTATTAAATTCGAGTGTAATTAAACATCTAGTGAGATTTGGTAACTGACAAGTATAATAAATATTTTTAATTTCTGGCAATAAGAATAATTTTTATGTGTTAAAAACAATTGTATTTATTGCAGAAATCCCTAACAGATATCGTTTTTAATAATGTAATCCAGTGTTTCCCAAAGTTTGGTACGCGTACCACCTGTGTTACGGGCACAGTTTAGAGGAGGTGCGCGCTCTTATGCGAAATATCTTGCAACTAAAGAAAATTTAAAAATATTTATTTAAAAGCAAAGCTAGCCATGAAAATTTACGATTACGTATTTTTCTATTGGCTTTTTTTGCTGAGTTAATAATTAGTGGTGTCAACAGCCAGTTGTGATTTTTAACTTTTGTGCAGTTTTTTTTAAGTAAAATATACACTCATTTATTTATTAGTGGTACACAGCATTAGGAAATGTTTAGAAAGGGTACACAAAAGTCATAAGTTTGGGAAACACTGATGTAATCAAATCACACAAAACTTATGTCTAATTTGGGAGATATCACTATTTGTTTTTACTAGTTCTTTTCTTATTGATTGTTTTCCTCACGACATTAGACATGTTTGATGAAATACTTGCGAGTCCGCATGTGTGTCTAATGAGCTGGGTTCAGCGAGATTATTACACTCTCGTGTGCATCTCTGCTGGATTTTACAAGATATTCTCAATTTCGGGCTTCATTTTCCACCCTCTGATATCGAATCAAAAAATCTTTTTATGTTGGCTAATATAATTGAGGAAAGAGTTTAGTCAGAAACTAGTTATTTTATCATGATCATGCAAAGTCTTTGAAAATTGTTTTGCATTTTGTTAGTGTATATAGTACTTAAAAATATTTTTTGAATGCTAAAAAGGTGCTTATATTTTGATGGAAGATTTGGCTGCACACTCTGTTTATTTGTTGGAAATATTACTTTTAGGAGAATTACTATTTTTGTCATTCTCTTCCACCTTCATTGTTATTTGGTACAGGTACATCAAAAATAAAATACTGCACTCGACATTTTATTCCTGTTGCATCTTTCAGTGAAGGAATTAAATCAAGCATCAACTTACTCTTTGAGGTGTTTATTTTCATGAATAATTTATTCTACTTTACAGCCACAATAAAAAACTAAGTTAGCTACATCTGAAAAAAATTTTAAACAAATTGTCAATAAAAAAAGGGGCAGAAAAAACCATTAAACAATATCATATCAGATGATAATGAAGAAATAAAATCCTTTTGTTTAAGTATAGATTGAAAAAAGAAGTTTAGGAATGAATTTTATTGTGCTTAAATTTATCCTACTTAAAAATTCCTCATAGGAAATACATTACCATACAACTTGACAAGCATTTAATTAAAAAATGAACAGAAATTATTATGTAGGTATGTTTTCGTGCACATAATTTGAGAGCATTTCCAGGAATTAAAAAATGGTAAGGATAGTCTGTTTAATTGCCATGTGACAACCGCTAGTAAAGATAGTAAGGTAAGGATAGTCTGTCCAATGACAAAGAGAGTTAGTGGCAGATGATGGTAATTTTTTTGTTGGCTGTTTTATTTACTAATTGCCACTTGGCGACCATTAGTTAGTCTTGCCCTTTCACTGCTATATATTGTTTTCATCTCTATTAGACTGGGGTTTTTTTTTTGTTTGTTTTTTCACCATCTGGTACTCTTGCTATAAATTCAGTTCTTGATAATAACCTAAACTTACTTTTGCCAAATATTAATTTATTTCTTTATATCTGCTAAAGCTTAATGTTTTTCTTCATTAAACTTTGCTATCTTGTTTCAGGAAAATATTTACTATAAATGATTTTGATATTGGACGACCTCTTGGAAAAGGAAAATTTGGAAATGTTTATCTTGCTAGAGAAAGGAAAACTCATTTTATTGTAGCGCTGAAGGTAAAACAGTTCAAATGAAGTATATTTTGATCAAGAGTGTTAAATGCTCCATTATATAGTTATTTCATTGTTTTCAAAATTTCTTGTTTACATACCTGCCAAGTCTCCTGTTTTTTTAATGAAGACTCATGTATTATGACTATGTCCTGTTATATTCTCAAATTTCTCTGTAATTGTGTAAGAAATTTGGCGATAAAATATCTGCTGAGAGCAAAAATACTTCTCTTGTTCCTCAACAGATGGTGCTATTGCCAGTAGTGCAGTATGTTGAGTGTTAACAGTTTGAGTAATTATAATTTATGGTTTAAAAAAATCTTTAGATTAAGATTTATACACATTTTTTACTTTGCTAATTGTAAGAGCTTATATAATTTCCAATTTTGAATTTCTCTTTTTGACTTGCATGATTATGCATAATGTATCAAAACTTTACTTGTAACTAACAAAATGTCACTGGTAAAATCTCTGTTATTTTATTTCTCTAATGTTGGCAGATATGTGTTAATGAGAGGTTTAAATTTAGAAGAATATAGTTAACGTAAATACTGAGGCAAGACTTAATTGTCATGATTTTCGAAATAATGGAAAATTTATACTATTTTTTAATTTAATGCCTTGATGTTTTTTTTTTTCCCTTCCCTGATCAAAACTTTACAATCTTGGTAACAGGAAAACATGATCTGTACTTTTTCTATTTTTGATAAAGTTTTCAATGCATACATAATTCTGTTTAAAAAGTATCTTCCAATATCTATGTCCAATATGTATATGACTTTAAAACCAGAACTGCTTCTGCAAGCACTAGGGTACTCCCTAAGCAACAATTTTATCTTTACTTCAGTTTGGCTCAATGTGAGTCCTATGTCAACACGCACCATGGGACCAATATTGGGGTGTCTAGATTTTTTTAATATTGATCCTATATAGTGTCAATATCTGCCAATATGAAGCTTATATTGGTTGAAAAATGAATGTAAAATATCAGGTGAATCTGACAATTATATATATTTTTATATTGTATAACCGTTGTTAAACAACTGACCCCATTTTTGGGTTTGCAACTTCTAATGTTCAAGTCCGTAACCTTGTAGTTTTGAACCAAATCCAAAAGATAAGGGAACTCCTAGATCAAGTATTAGGAGAAATTTGCCTTTGTGGAGGACTTTTTGATTTAACTAACCCTCATTTGCGTTACATGGAGAGGAAGACCACAAGAACCTCCCACGGTTAGCCTAATGGCAAGGAGACTCTAACCCGTGATCCATCTACCACTGAGGATATTTGATGTGCAAGGCGGATGCAGAATTCGTATTGACTGGGAATTGAACCTGGTTTGCGTCATTGGAAAGCGAACGCTTTATCCCCTGAGCCATCATGGCTCTGATAATTATATATAGGGCCTATATGGGTTGTAAAGTGGCTGTAGAATATCAGGTGAATTGCGCAATTCTATATATGACCAATATCAGAAAAATAGCGTCCGTTTACGTTTTCTTCTGAAACAAGATAATGTACTTATCTGGTATCCAGTAGGGCTAACATTCTTTTCTCTGTAGGTTGCGTTCATTATCTTTAGCTTTGAAAGATGATTAAACTATTTTTAAATGACATCAAAACATATTTTGCAGTAATGCTCTATGTATTTAAAATAATAAAAAAAAGAAATGTGTTTATATGTAAAATTGGTTAAAAAGTAAAATTTTATAAAGGATCCAAATAAATGAAATTTGGCTCAAATTGATTAGTTTTTTACGTTTCAACCTATGACTTTTTGACAATTTATTACAATAAATGCAAAATTATGTTTATACCTTTATTTCTTATTTTCATCTTTTTAAAAAATTGTGACCACTCAGTGGGTATCTATGGGATATTTAACGAAGATATTTCAGCTATACTAAATTATTTCATTTACTGGACCATTATTTAAGTATGTTCAGCTGTTCTTTTTTTGCTCAAGTTTTTCCCACAGTTAAAAGTAGTAGAGTTAGCTCAATGACGCCTGGTGGCTGAGTGGTACACGTCACTGGTCCTGGGTTCAATCCTTGGGCCGGGCAAGGTTGACTCAGCCTTTCATCCCTTCAGTGGGTCAATAAATGAGTACCAAGCATGCTTGGGAACTAAACACTGGGGGTTTCACGTTCGGTTGACCACCTAAACGGAACATCTGCGTCCCAGAGCCCAAGGTCAAGAAAACTGAGATGGGCACAGTAGGCCTTGACCCTCTTTGGGCTGTGGAGTTAGCCCAATATAGCTCATACAAGAACTCAGTAATTCCTTCATCTTAATATACTGTGTATAACACATACAGGGAAAATACAGGGAGTTTTTTTTTCCAAATTTGAGTGGCGATCATTTTATTATTAAATATATTTTAGTGTACAAATCTTTTTATTGGTTAACTGCTTTTTATAAATTTTTGATTTCTTACTGATTTGAACTTTTATTATATCGTTCTGTAATTTATTATAGATTCTGTCCAAGGCACAAATTCTGAGGAATGGTGTGGAACATCAAATAAGAAGAGAGATAGAAATCCAAACCAACTTACGGTAGCTACAATTTTTTTTTTCTTTCTAAACAAGTGTATAGAAAAATGTTTTCCCCACCAATCCTGTGCAAACCTTTTCATCCCTGTAGTAGACATTGTCATAGAACATCACAAAGTTCTTGCAGAAAGAACTTTCCTTTAGGAAGTAAAAAAAAAAATTTCCATTAAATTATGTTTAAAAGATGCCTTTTTCACACATCATAGGAGAAAAAAAATTTCGTGATTTTTCTATTCTTATTTGAGAAAAATGAAATATAAAAAATAATGAAGTAAAAAAAAATTTCGGCGGAAGTGTACGAAAGATTTTTTTAACTTTAAAATTATATTCAAAAGATGCCTTTTTAGCATATCACAGGTGAAAGAAATTTTCGTGATTTTTGTATTTGGGAATAATCAAAAATAATGGAGTAAAACAAATTTAGTTTTCTTTTCTACCGAGATTTTCATAAGATTTTTTTCTCCAGAATTATTATATAACATAGTATATTATGTAACAAAGCCTTTTACTTTATTTTTCAAAAAATTCTTTACACACATGTCGGAGGGAAAACCAAGCTCCTGATTCTTCAATTCTTATTATAAGAATAAAAAAATTTGATGGTGACCGTTTTTAGCTAGAATTTCAATTCGTAAATATAAGGGGAAAAAAGGAAATTATAAAAGTTTAAAAGATTGTTCCATTCTAGAAATGCTCTTTCATTCATACTTTTCTTTTATAATAACACCATATTTTTGCATTTTAATAAAATTTGACTATGTTGCAAATTCAGATTTGTAGCAAAATAATTTCCTACTTATATATATATATANTGATCTATATATATATATATATATATATATTTAAATTACACTCATGAAAATTTTAAATTATGCATTAAAGTTTTAACTTTTTTACTCACAACTTGTGCCGATTCCATCATAAATGTATGTAGTGCTTTGATAAAAAATATTTCTCCAATTATTGCTACAAACTTATGCTTTGTTTTTTCGAAATCCTGATGTCTTTTGTTGCTCAGTCATTATTTATATTCTCGTAAATTTATTGGTGAGTTTTTAATTTAATTTGATATTATTTTTGATAAAAATAAAATGAGCCATGAATTGAAAAAAATAAATTATTATTAACTCAATGCTGAATGTTATGAAGTAAATGTAGTTATTTTATGACTCAACCTATGTTATATATTTATTTCATGCATCCATATATAGTGAAAATGTGTGGCTCCTTTTAGAAAAAGTGGTTAAAAGAATTTAAGTGGCTAATTTATATTCAGGGTGTGTAGCATTTTTAAAAAGTACTTAAAGGTGCTTATTTTCGATTTTTAAAAGCCCTTAAAGGTGCTTTTTTTATTGGATGTTTTTAAAAAATGCTCAATTTTCCCTTTTCGAAAATTGGATTTTTTTCTTTTCTGTGTGAATTTTCACCATGTGATATGCAAAAGTGAGCTTTTCACATTGTTTTATTCAACGTTTTCACAATTCATTCAACGACAATCTATTTCCGCTTACCGTCGGTCCATAGCATATGAAAGCGCCAATCATGTTTGAAATACTTGCAAGTCCGCATGTGCAACTACTGATATGGGTTCGGTGCAATTATTGCACTCTCATGTGTAACTCTGCTGCATTTTGCCAGATATTCTCATTTTCAGGCTTCATTTCCCACCTTCTGAAATCGAACCGAAATATCTCGATCTTTTTATGGTGGTTAATATAATCAAGAGAAAATTCCTTTGTCAGAAACTAGTTATTTTATCATGATCATGTAAAGTCTCTAAAAATTACTTTGCATTTTGTTACTGTATATGGTGTTTAAAATATTTTTGAGTACCTAAAAAGTACTTAACAGGTGCTTATTTTTTGTTGAAAGATTTGACTCCACTCCTTGATAATGCTATAGCAAGTAACTGCAGTTATTTTCTTTCTCAACCTAAGATATATTAATTTTATTAAACCTGTTTCAGACATCCAAATATTTTGAGAATGTATGGTTACTTTTATGATGAAACTAAGATCTACTATATTCTTGAATTTGCTGCTCGTGGAGAGCTTTATAAAGCTTTGCAAAAGCAGAAAAGATTCGATGAAGCTACATCAGCAACAGTGAGTTACATTTTTTTTTTAATTAGTGAATTGTCTTATTGTGGATATTTTAAATGTATTTAGATTTACTTTTCTTTTGATTTAAATTTTTATTCTTTATGTTCAATTGATTCAAAATTGTTTGCTTTTTTCTCTGAGTGTTTTCCTACAATGCAAATTAGTTTCACTCTGAAGTATTTAAATGGTACTAACTTTTCAAGTTTTTAGCATTCAGAGGTCTAATTAATGGCAGAATTCAGATCAAATTTCTTTAGTGTTTTTGTTTTTAAAAGATAGTTTTGATATATTTTATGTGATTTTTAAAAAAAATTAACAAGCATTTAATAATATATTAATCATACATATTCCTAGTAAAAGACAAAGGAGAAATGTAAAAATTCAAATGTATTGACCCTTTGGTGCAGATAGGACGCTGTTGTCCCTTATATATATTTTTTTCTGACGTTCTAATTGCAAGTGAAATTATAATTTGGTATTTTTTATTTATAAAAAACAGTAATAATTACTAAAAAAATCTGTAAGATTATCAAAAACATAAAATCCAAAAAAATTGTAAAAATATAATAGCAAAAATATAAAATCCAAAAAAAAATAGTTTGAATTTTTTTTTTTTTCATTCATATTCAGAAATTTAGCAATAATTTGATTTTCTAAATTAAATGAAATTTTGATAATGAATTTCTGTTTCTAATAAGTGCAGATTTGATAGCAGAAAACCGCTGCAGCGTTTTGCAGAAAAGGATACAGTGTCAGGGTTGCTACTACGCAGGAAAAACTTGGAAAATACAGGGAATTTAAAACTAACAGGGAAAATGCCTTAATTCTTTCTTTACCAACTGGGAAAATACTCAGAATTTTGTTTGCTATTTTCATCTTTACTTATACTTGATGTTATTTGTAAATTAAAATTCAATCAAAGTAATTATGTCTACTTCTTTTCAGATAAATTATTAAATATTTAATCAGCTTTTGTTTAACATTTATCTCAACTGTTTAAAATTTAGAGGTAGGTTTTACTGTTATGAAGAATATAAAAGCTTATTAAATTTATATTATTAATCATATATAATTAAGATTCTTTAGCTATATATATAGATAATATCCTTTCTGAACAGTCTTGGTTATTTTTCCAAAAAATTTTCTGATAATCATGTTTATTATTCAATCAAATTAAAAAAAAATTCTTGCAAACAATTTTTGGTCTTAGTTCTAATCGATCAATTTCACTCATAGATGAGAGTTTATCCCTCAATTTTATATTTGTTCTAAGCAACAAAAATGGCCCCCTCTTAGGGTGACATTCCTTAAATTCGAAATTTTTTACCGCATTTCTCGTATAATACATGATCTTTTTCTTTTTTTCAAGCAACTAAAATTTAGAATATGAATTTTAACAAAGTTTGAATGAAAAGTTTCTGAAGCAAAATTAATAATCTAACAGAATAAAAAAAGATATGAATCAGCAGAAAAAGTTTTATTTAGCATGTTTAGTACAAAGTTAAGCCAGGATAGCCTGGTTGGCAGGGTGCTGGACTCGTGTTTGTGAGAACGGAAGTTCGCACACAGCCTGCCGAGGACTCCCCGTGTAGTAAATAGTGACTGGTGCACGTTAATTTTCTAGTCATCAAGTCATCCATGTTCGCTTAACAAATTATACCTCTGGGGGTACTAATTTGAAGATTCTCTGGTTCATGTCAAAATTATGACCTGTGGATGAATGGGTCCACCCTATAAATAGGTGTGGCAGAAGTTGAATTCTTGGTTATAGATAGCGCCACTAGAAAACAAGAACAATTGATTCCCTTCCCATAATAGCCTAACAACAACAGTACAAAGTTGATCCCTCTTTATAATAATTATATCCAAAGTTTCTTCTGTGGTTATTAGATATCCAGATTTATTTTCTTAAGGTGAATGTTTGTTATTTTTCAGTTCTGTAAAAATGATATTAAAAATTTATTATTTAAAAAAAATTCCATAAATTCATAATGAAAAAAAAAATTATACTTTGAATCACTATATTAAAATTTTAAGAACAAATCATTGCTTAGCAATGGAATTATAAGCTAGTTAAGTTCTGTATGTGTTATATCAAGTTGATTTATACAGTACAGAACCCGTTATCCGGAAATCGGAAAACCAAAAAACCGGAACGAAATTCGATACATTTTCCCGCCATTTTTTTTAAAAAAAAAAAAACATTTTTTTCCTCATAAGATTTTAGGATTTTTCTTTCTTTTTTGAAAGATGTTTACCTTACCATCATTTTGGAAATAATCATTAGTGTATTACTCCATCGTTTTTTCTTCTTTTTAAGATTATTTCCAAAAAAAAACTTTTTTTAAGTTGGGTTTAACAATAAAAAAAACGGCTTTCTGTAGCCTTTCAGAAAGCCGGAAAAATCAGTTATCCGTAATAGCGATGGTCCCGATCGTTCTTGATAATCGGTTCCCTACTGTATAATATTTTATTTCTCATTAGTGCATAATGAAAAGAAAGGCATGAAGGGGTACACACATTTCATTTGATCATACAATAAATGCTGGGGCAGGATTGATAGTTGCTTTACAAATTGATGGTCCTGTAGATCAGGGGTTTCCAACATACATTAGGCCGGGGGCCACAGTTAAAAACACCAGTCGCAGTTAGGCCGCAACTTAATCAAGATTTTATTTAGGACTCTTTTATGTTTGAAGGAACATTAAATATTACTGTCAGATTTTTATCAAGTTGTACAAAACAAAATTATTGAATGACAAATTAAAATAAGAAGTAGATTTTTAAAAATATTTAATTGCATATTAAAAAATTCTGACTTCAATAACTTTAATGTGCACCTATGTATTAAACAATTAATGTGCAACAGATATCTAATTGTTAAGATAATAAAACTTTAAAAAGGTTGGTACATATTAAAACTTTCATAGTAGCACACAAAATGTTCAATGAGAGAATTGACATTTGTCTGCTGCAACCACCAAAGAATAGATAATCTACATTTAAAATTTATTTTCGTCCAAAATGAGTGGTTTCAAAACGTTAAATCGAGAATTCCTTCGAGAAAATTTCTGATACACACATGCTAAATTATATTCACAAAATACAAAAAAATGAAATAAAAAAGAGCAACATACACGATTATTTTTGTATTTGAATAAATATTTTCTTGGATGGGAAACCTGAGAAATAAGACTTCGCGGGCCAGATGCGGCCCGCAGGCTGCCAGTTAGTAACCAATGATAACCATAGATCATTGATTTAGTGTTCGAAAATTTTGTAAAAGGGAAATAAAAATTTCAGTTTTATTTATTATCTTCATTCATTTCTATGCAATTAATTTAACTTTAATGTCCTTGAAATCTTATTGCAGGAAGCAACATATTGATAATTATTGCAAAAAAAAACAAAAAAAATCAGAAAGGGTAATTTTTATTCTGAACTGAAAAGCTTTTTTTTTGTTTCCCTTTTTTTTTTTTTTTTTTTTGTTCGATTGTGAATTTTGTTTTATGTGTTTTTCATTCACATATAAATGTTAAGAGTCATAATCTAAACTAGGAGGCTCCGCCCCCTGCTCGCTAACGCTCGCCAACCCCCGAGAATTGCTACGCAATCCTATGTGGTTCACGCCGTGAACCATGGCTCGCTGCGCTCGCTCGCCAATGAACACAATGTTCTAGCACAAAGACATAGTATATTATCATCAAAGACATAGTATTTTATCATCAAAGACATAGTATTGTACTTATGTAGAAGAATTCTATCAATGTTCTTATTGGCTTTTAAAAAAGTATATTAGCTATTTAGATTGTACATGGTGAAAAAATCAAAACATTAGCTAAATGAGAAACATATTAGCAAAATAAATTATCAAATATTGCAGTTACTCACCTAAATTCAACTAAATGTGTAATAAATTAGTTAATGCTAGAAATTCTGAAAGTTTTAGAAAAAAATTTTATTATTTAAAAATATAAACTTTAAATCCTAACTTTTCCTTGTGAGATAATAACCCTCAAAAAGTCTTTCATTTTCAGGAACACAAAAATTTTTTTTATCGCCAAATGAAATATTTTTTGGAGATCAGCATTATTGAAATCAATTTCTATATTAATTAACATTTGTGATAAAGTACATAACATTTTAGAACAAAATAAGGATGTTTTACATTTACATACAATAAATTAAAATGCATGGCTGTTAGCATTACCCGAGAAATACCACGTGGAGGTCGCCATGCTGCATTTCTAATCGGGGAGTTAGGATTTTGGCAGTTCCCCTTGCCTACTGCCAATAGGAGTTTCAATTAAATTTTTTCCAAAAAAAAATTTTTTTCCGCAAAGCTCTAAGAAATTAACACTAAGCATTTAGAATTTCTTTGAAAACACAATTATAGATTTGGCATCTTGGAGCAATTACTGAAAGGCTGTCAAATGACTTAACTCTTGACAGGCCAACATAAAGTTGTCCATGACTAAAAACTTGTTTAGTCAATACTAAACTGATTTTCTCAAAAGTCTGACCTTCTGACTTATTTATAGTCACGGAGAAGGCCAAACTAATTAATTCCTAATTGAGTTTAAATTAAATATTATCATGTTTTTAGGGCATGAATCTGAATTGAACAACCTGATAATGCTCACTCTGGTTATTGTTTCCGTTTTTAAAAGAGCTATATGTTGAGCCACCTCATGTGACATTTTTAGCAGCAATAATTGGTTGATTTTCTAACGTTGCCATTCGGGGAGTTGTAATGAGGCTTTTTTTTGGTGCCGTGTAAGAGAAATATATATATAGATTTTGATTTAAAAATTTTTAAAAAAATCTTTAAATATTTTACTTGAAATGCCCTTAAGAATTTTGATTTTATAAGGTAAGATATTCCAGGGCGCGTAGCGTTTTTAAAAAGTGCTTAAAGGTGCTTATTTTCGGTTTTTAAAAGCCCTTAAAGGTGCTTTTTTCATTGGGTGTTTTTAAAAGGCTCTTGATTTTCCCTTTTTCAAAATGAGATTTTTCCTTTACCATGTTGATTTTTGCTAAAAAATTATGCAAAAAGACACAGTTTACATTGTTCTATTCAACATTTTCAGAATTAATTCAACCCCTATCTTTTTTGGCGTATTCTCTGTCCGTAGAGTAGAAAAACGCCATTCGTTTTACATGATTCAAAATTTCATGATTTTTAGCAATTGTCAAAAACAATGACAAAAGTTTTTTTGTTTCTTTTTTTGAGTTCTTGAAAAGTTCTTAAAAGGTGCTTATTTTTTGTCGAATAATTTGGCTACGCACCCTGTACTCATTTATTTTTGTTACTTAGAACAAACAATGTTGAGAAAAAAACTTGCATTCCATACTTTATTAACATACAAATTAAAAAAGAGAATCTGAAAATCAGGGTTTTAGATAACTTATGTTTATTTGGAGGGTGGGTCATGGTGTAAAAACTCTTATATTCATTTATATTCTCAGTTGAGAATAAATTGTTGAAGGGGGATGTAAAAACTGACATAAGTCTAGGAAGTCTTAAATTGGGTAATTGAGGAAGATAGGCAAAAAATTAAAAAGAAAGAGACCTGGTTAAAATTATGATTTTGGGGAAGGTTTAATAATAATTATGGTTATTGGAGGAGTTTTCATCTAAGTGGATGGAAAAACTTTTTATTTATATATTAATCATTTGCACAATAGAATTTTTTATAAATTTCATAACTTCTATAAATTATTCTTTATCTGATGAAGTAGTGAGAGAGACATCATATTAATAATACTTTAGTCCTTATTCCCATACTCATAATTCTCCGAATTATTATCCTACAGCAGTGTTTCCCAAAATGTGGTACGCGTACCCCCCGGGGGTTTACATATATTTTTTTTATTGGTTATTTATTGCAGAGTTAACAGTTAATAATTAATGGTGTCAATAGGCAGTTGTGATTTGTAACTTATGTGCAATTTTTTTTTATCACAGCAGCTGTTATCAAAGCAGAAACAATATTCTCACTGATGCAAATAAACTTATTAACAAAACTTTGTAAAATAAGTATATTTTTAAAAAAATACATTAATTTTTTTATTAGTGGTACACAAAAGTCATAAGTTTGGGAAACACTGCCCTACCGACAAATTACAGGTATAAAATTGGCAATAAATTTTCTATCTCAAAACTTAAAAAAATAAATGCTGAAAAACTATATTTTTTTGAGAGAAAAGCGTATTCCCCCCCCCCCCAAAAAAAAATTTGGTCACTAAATGCGGATTCGTGTTCAGCAACCGTCAATTTTTTCCTGATAACATCTATTTTTTTAAAAATTCTATTGTCTAAATTATAATACTTGCAGATAATCATAATACAAAAAATGGAGTTAAATTTTTTTTTAAAACTTATGTGAGCTACTACTCTTGATTATATGATGACTTAATAAAATGTACCATTTTCAGTACATGGCTCAAATAGCCAAAGCCTTTATGTATCTACACTCTAAGAAAGTGATACATCGTGACATCAAGCCAGAGAATCTGCTGTTGGACCTCGTAGGCGATGTAAAAATTGCTGACTTTGGATGGTCTGTTCATGCTCTTTCTAATAAGAGGAAAACCATGTGTGGCACCCTCGATTACCTTCCTCCAGAGATGTTGGAGCACAAAACCTATGATTCGTCCGTCGATTTGTGGTGCCTGGGAGTTTTGTGCTATGAGTTTTTAGTGGGCCACCCCCCATTTGAATCAAAGACGTCTCAGGAAACTTATGCAAAAATACGAAAAGTTGATGTTGTTTATCCAAAGTATGTTTCTGCATCAGCTAGGGACTTCATCAGCAAAGTAAGTCTATTGCCTTATTTTAATGTTGTATTTTTTCAGCTTATGAACTTGCTTTTTATATAAACAGTTGAACCTCAGTTCATTGTATTGTTCCCGCATTGTTTGCTTTAATGTATGTATTGACTTGTTTTAATGGTTCAGTCGCCTGGTTGACTCACTTCGAATCCTACCGGTTGTAGACTCCTTGTGTAATAAATGGTGGCTGGTGCACGTTAAATCTGTCTGATCACAAAGTCCTGCATTCTTCCATAATGAATTATACCTCTGGGAGAAATGGATCAGTGATTGCTCATTCTCTGATTCTGGTCAAAATTACGATCTGTGGATGAAGGAATGGGTCGGCCCTATAAACGCGCGTGTGGGTGAGGCAGAAGTCGAATTCTTGGCCATAGATGGCACCACTAGAAAACAAGAATGATCGCGCCCTCTCTGCCTTAATTGCCTACGACGACAACAACCGCAATGGTTCAGTCACAAATGCTAAATTGAGTTATTTTGTTTTCTTAAAACAGTAACTCATGATGCTAATTATTATGACGTACCTGCCAAATCTCCTGTTTTTTAACGAAGACTCCTGTATTTTAAGATTGTCTCCAATTTACCAGTATATTTTGAACTGTCTCCGTATTTGTTGAAGGAATTTTTAAAAAAATTGGCAATAAAATATACGCTGATGGCTAAAATACTTCTCTTATTCCTCAACAGGTTGTGCTATTGCTAGTACTGATGTTGAGTGTTAATAGTTTTAAGTAATTATAAATAATTGTTTAAGAAATCTTTAGGTTAAGATACATGTTTTTTACTTTGCTAAATGTAAGTGTTTATATTTCCAATTTTGAATTTCTCTTTTTGACTTGCATAATTATGCATGATGCATCAAAACTTTACTCGTAGCCTAAAAAATGTTTCTAGTCAAGTCTCGGTTATTTTATTTCCTCAATGTTGGTAGGTATGTAAAATAAACGAAGACTAGTTTAAGTTCTGTAACAAATGCCTCTAGTGGCGCATTAAAGTTTCATGCATCGAGCATTGAAAATTTGTGGATGATTCAAGAAATTGTTGAAGAAGCTATCCTAGCAATTTTGTATTAATTGTATTGAGTGTTAGTGATAAAGATGACGTCACCGTAACCAATGGCAACATCTGCTAAAATCATTGAAGCGTTTGAAACAATGAAGAACTTTATACATTCACCCAAATTTACAGAAAATGAACAGCTGTCTGTTGCACATGTTGACAATTGATTGTTTGGTGCTGATGAGAAAGAAGTGTTCAGAACAAAATTTCCAAATATTTTAAATAAATATGTTTATTCATCTTTAGTACAGTAAATATTTTTTTAAATCTTGTACATAGTTTTTTTTTTTTTCAATTATTTTTTTTCTTTCACTCTAAATTTAATAATTGCCACTTTTTTATTACCCTATACTTACTCAGATTACCCTGATTTTCTTCAAGAAAGCAAGATAGAAGGGAGTGCTGGATATTTCGGGTATCATTTATAATACAGTACAGAACCTGTTATCCGGAAATCAGAAAACCGGAAAACCAAAAAACCGGAACGAGATTTGATATATTTTCCCGCTATTTTTTTAAAAAAAAAAATTTTTGCTCATAAGATTTTAGGATTTTTCTTTCTTTTTTGAAAGATGTTTACCCTAGCATCATTTTGGAAATAATCATTAGTGTATTACTTCGTTTTTTCAAGATTATTTCCAAATATTTTTTTTTTAGTTGGGTTTAACAATAAAAAAAACGACTCTCTGTAGCGATTCAAAAAACCGGAAAAATCAGTTTTCCGGAATAGCGATGGTCCCGATCGTTCCGGATAATCGGTTTCCTACTGTATAACAAACCTTTCTGCCTAAAAGATTCTTTTAGTGTTAATTTTCCGAGGGAACGCCCTTTTTATTGTTGTAATTACTGGAACAGGTATTTCGTCAAATCCTCGATAAATAGTCCTAACGACGAATTGTCGCCGCAATGAATTGTTTTTAAAATTCCGCCTTTGTCTTTTCCTATATCAAATTCCTGTATCAAATTGTTCAACAAATATTTGATCTATAGTTTCACAGATAAAATTTTATGGGCTTATTTTCCAAATACTGAATAAACTTTTAACGACAAATGCTATTTTTATTACAATTTATTAGTTCCCCTGGCTATAAAATACAAATTAGAATTTTTCACAAAATTTTATTTTTTCTTGTATGGTACTGCAAGTTAATCTTTTCTAAGCTGATTGCTAGTTCGTACATTGTCAGATCTGAAAAGCAATAATTGCCAATTGAGTAAATGATGTCAGGAGTTTGAAGAGAAGGCAGGAGAATTTCTTTTGTGAGAAAAAATGAAGAAAAAAATTGTACATGGCCGATCATGCTCATAGCATGAATGAAATGATGATCAGTAATGGGGAAGAAACAGTTTTCTATATCCATCTAAGTAATATACTCAAATATAATTTTGACCACAGCCTAGTTGGTAGGGCACTGGACCCATGTTCAAGAGGACATAGATTCGATCACTGCTGGTCAGAGACTCCCCATGTAATAAATGGGGACTGATGCGTGCTAAATCTGTCGAATCACTAAGTCCCCTGTGTTTCCATAACATATCGTAACTCTGGGGTTCTAATCCAGGAGTTTCCTTGTCTTCTGGATTGGTTCAAAATTACAAGGCTACAGATTGAAACATTAGTAGTCCTAAACCCAAAATTGGGTCGGCTGTTCAACGCCAGTTATACAATTATAAAAAAAAATAGTCATTCTCGATAAAACATGATTTTATGCACTAATTATCTATTGAAATAAAATTTTACTTTGATACTTTTGAAGATCTCGAAAAGTTTGGAAAAGTCAAGCTAACTGGTATAGTTATTTTAGGACTTAGTCTCAAAATTGATTTAGTGTCAAAATGACCACTAAGGGTCAGTCTAATGTTAATATACTTTATCAGAACTTTGATTGTTATGTGCTAGCAAAATAATTTTAAGAATCTGATCTGATTTTTCTTCGATATTTATTCTACCGCTTTACTATTTGATTTTACTTCTTAGCTACTTAAACTGGATCCTGTGGAAAGAATGACCTTGAATGAAATTCTAGACCATCCCTGGATTAGAGAGAATGCAAAAAAATCACAAGGTGCTGCGTAATAGAACATTTTGTGGCAAAATTATTTTACCTTTTTATCTTCTACTACTGTTGTAAAAATTTTATTCTTTTTGTATTTTAATTTTTAATAAAACTATATAGTGATATTGTTGTTTATAATTCAATATATTTATTATTATGTTTACACATGGTTCATAGCGTTTTTAAAAAGTGCTTGAAGGTGCTTATTTTCGATTTTTAAAAGCCCTTAAAGCAGCGCTCGAAGAAACACAGAAATTTTACCCGTCACTGAGGATGGCTTGTCCAACAATGTATGTACCCGCCCTCCTTTGAAACTAACCCGTAGCTTCTAAATAAATAAAAATGTAATTTTCTCTTATTTATTACAAATATTTATATAAATTGCACAATGAATTAGTAGTTACTAGGTTTACATTATACAGTAATAAAAGAAATACTGGGTTACTAAAAGTTACCTAGTATTTCTTTTATAAAATAATTATGACAAAGGTCAAGTTATCTGGAATGTCAATTTACCCGAGGGTACTGCGTTTTTTAAATGAATCAAATATGACGTCTGCCAGTTCCACAATCAAGCCAATGCCTTTCAACCGCTGCAATACTCCCAGACAGAGAAAACATCTATTCCCCCATGAGCAGTATGTTGCTGCATTAGGTCTTTATAAATAGCTTGGGCTCGGAGGGCTGAAGTTTTCTGGTGTTTAACGATGTTATGTATCTTAAATTTTAATGGCACCCATCTTTGAGAAAAATTTTGTTTATTTATTTATTTATTTCAAAACATATTAAAAGGTAACAAAAATTGAACCGTTGGTCCTTGGCGTATAATAATTATAGCGTTAGTACCGTTGGTCCTTAGCATATGATAACGTTAATCATGTTACATGTTTGATGAAATACTTGGGAATCCGCATGTGCGTCTACTGAGCTAGGTTCGGTGAGATTATTGCTCTCTCAACTCTGCTGCATTTGGCTAGATATTCTTAATTTCAGCCTTCATTTTTCTACCTCTGAAATCAAAACGAAAAATCTCTCGATCTTTTTATGGTGGCTAATATAATCAAGAAAAGAGTTCTTTCTCAGAAATTAGTTATTTTATTGTGATCGTGTAAATTCTTTGAAAATTATCTTGCATTTTGGTAATGTATGTAGTACTTAAAAACATTTTTTGAGTGGTTAAAAAGTACTTTAAAGGTACTTATTTTTTGTTAAAAGATTTTGCTACGCACCCTGTTACAATTATAATGCTAATATCATTTTTTTTTTTTACTTTTCAAACAAAACAAAAAAAGCTATTTTCAGATTTTATTTTTCGATCTTTTTTAGGGTATGTTTTTTAGCGTATATTTTAAAATTTAAGATCACAATTAACCAGATTCAAAGTAAATTAATCGTAACATTGTGCTATTGTTTTTTTGAAAACTTTCTATTCAACATGCCAGAGTCATGGAGGCTCAGGGGGTAGAGCGTCATAGCATCTTAATGCTCTAGAGTGGATTTTTTTCTCTAAAATTCGAATTTAAAGATGCCTTTTTTACACATCGGAAGGGAAGGAAATGTTCATGATTTTTTTTCCTTATTTGAGAAGAGTGTAAAGTAAAAAATTTCTTTTCTGCAGAAATGTTTGAAAGATTTTTTTTTCTACATAATTATATTCAAAAGATGCATTTTTTGCACATCAGAGGGGAAAGAAATGTTAGTGATTTTTCTATTCTTATTTGGAAATAAAAAACAATCAAGTAAAAAATTTTCGTTTTCTTTTCTACCGAGATTTTCAAAATAATTTTTTTTTCTCCAGAATTATTATATAAGAACGTATTCTATATAATAGGAGTGGCTAAGCTCCTTCATAGTCGAGCCATTTTTCAAAATTTGAGCTACAAATAAATACGTATTTAAAAGGTATTAAAAATTCTTTTTCTACATAAGTTATATTCATTGAGAACATGTAAGTAAAAGTACAAAATATGTGTATTGAATTTAAATATCAAAAATTAAACACATTTATTTTACTTCTCTTTATAATTTGGTGAATAATTGGTGACAGCACTTCTCAGTAATTCTTTCAAATGCTGGTTAGTTAATACTGATCGGTGTTTGGATTTACCGAATTTTAAAGTGGAATAAAATGAATCACATAAGTACGTTGTACCGAATATTGAAATAATTCGGCAAGCAGCCTTTTTTAATTCAGGATACTTCGATTCTGGCACAAATTTCCAAAATTCAGTAATTGACGTCGACTTATATTTTAATTGTAGAGCTTGATCTTCTTGCATCTCTAATAATTCTAATTCTCCAGATGCTTTTTGGGTCATAATTGTATTGGAAATGGAAAACTCACCTTGAATTGAACAACGTTGCACTTAGTCTTTCATATTTGTTCTCATTAATTTAAAAGACATTTTAAAACGGAACGATAATAATTTTCTTTTAAATATAGTAGCACAAAAATGAAAAGGGAACTAGAGTACATTTATCGACAGCCGCAAATAATCCTTCCAAGAGCCGCATGTGGCTCGCGAGCCGCAGGTTGGCCACCCCTGTTAAGTAACATAGGAGGGGTTGTACCGTTATAACCATTATTCAGCCAATGTAAACTCTATTTAAAATTGTCAAGTTGACTTGATATTTTACAGACGATACTTAACCAATATAGACCATCTATAGAATTGTACAATTCACCCGATATTTAAACGACGTTATTCATCCAATCTAGACACTATTTTAAATTGGCGATTAATCCAGTATTTTAGAGCCGTTAAATGAAATTTAAAAGGTAAAATAATTAACACTTTTCTCTAAGATCATGTTTAGTTGTTCTCAAATCTCATGGTAGGATAACCATCATTATATCTCTAGTGCTACTTTTACAATAAAATCAAAACATGCAGTGTTCTTGGTAAATCGATTTTCTCCAATCAGACCGAGGTGAAAATGTTTCATTTTATAACCACCGTTGAACAGTCGACCTAATTCTGGGATTATGACTACCAATGTTCAACTCCGTAGACTTGTAATTTTGAACATGATCCAGGAATTCCCTTGTTTTCTGGATTAAGTATTGGGAAAAATTTACCTTCGTGGCGGACTTTTTGATGGAACTAATTTGCGTTGCACGGAGAGGAAAATTAGAAACACCTCCCATGGTTAGCCTGACAATAAGGGGAGTCTAATCTAACCCATGATCCCTCTACCACTGAGGATATTTTTTGCCAGCTTGTAACCGGTACGACCTGGAAGACGAACGCTTTATCCCCTCAGCCACCGCGACTCTACTGTTTGTCTAAGATAAGTACTCTGCCAGACATTCGTCTGGATCTGTGGCGGTGACTATGGTAACGAGGTATGATTATTTCAAGTAGGGGTGCGGGTTCCCTCTTTAGGACTGGTTTCGACCAGAGAAAAGGAGACCTCTTCATCGAAGCTACTCTCCCTAAAATGCCCTCTTCTTGTTTCCATAGCACCAGATTGCCGCAGACTTAGTGGCGGTCAGAATACCTATCTTAGACAAACAGTATGTGAAAATTTTTGTAGTGTTGTTGTTGTTGCACACCCCCATTGGCCAGCAGTGCTAGACCAGGTCCATGACGTTATACACCCTCAAAAAATCCAACACCGTCGATGGATCATCTGCTAAATCCTGTTTGGTGAGCCCCAGGCACGCGAGGATGTGGTGAGGCGAAGCCTGGTCTGAAGAGCAGTTGGCACAAATTTCAAAATTTAGTTATTATTTCCAGTAATTCGGTAAAGACTGAGGGTTTAATTTGATTGTACATCACGTTTTCTGAACCCCACTCTAAAATATCGCCTATAGTTCAGCTTAATCAATCTAATTTTTAACTCTTGCAACATCAAACATAAATTTTGACCAGAAACTTGCCGTTTTGATTTAGGTGAAAATCATTTTCCAGTGATGCTGTAACGGCAGTGTTTAATCGGTTTGCGCAATGTGTCTTCTAAGCCCGCTGTTAAACGAAGCCGATAGCCTAAGTGCAGCTTAGGTAATCTATTTTTTAACATCCTGCAATATCAAGAATAAGAATAAATTTTTAAGATCTCTTAGTCATCGCTTAGTTTTCTACGCCAAATCGCACCGTATTACCCTCGATATCCGTATAATGAATAAGAGCAATTTTTCCTTTTTAAAAAATGTGTGTTTGACTGTTCTATTAATTAATTTATTTCAAGATATTTGGATCAACTGAGAGTTTTAAGACAAATAACATTTACGCAGTAATTTTCCTATTTCATAATAAATAATTCAAACCAAAAATTTTATTTCAATACTGTATAATTTTACCAAAATTTTATGTTAATTATCAAAAGTTTAATAGACTAAAATGTTTCTTTTTAAAAGGTGAATGTTTATATTGTACTTGGACTATTGTGATCAAAAATGTCTTATAAGCAAAAAAGAAAAATCTTTTATGGGTAGGTTAGTTTGTATTGTAAATCACTTAATAAGCAGGAACTAGATATCGAATTTAAGTCTTTCCAGGTTTAATAGATGTACATACAAAACTGGACCTTAAAAACAAGCCTGTAATGGTCTTACATATTTCTAGACAATGGTCTTAGAATGGCTTTCGATATTGGACAGTTTTTCAAAAAGAGAAAAAGAAATTACAAGTTCCTTTCGTTTCATTTTAAAAGAGTAATATTGAGTGTTTCGGTTGGTCAAATTTACTGATTTGTTTTCTTAATCGGAATTTTAATTTTTGAGGGAAGAAATTTAAAAGAATGTTTTTAAATACCAGATTTAAAGAAAGAAAAAAGATTCAATTTTCTTTCTCTTAAACTTGTATTTTTAATAACTTATGCCCCCGCAACAAAAAAAATTTTATACATTATTTCCTAAAACAAAAATAATAATCATAATTGCATAAAAAATCAATTTAATTTACAACGAAATACTAGTACGCAATATTTCGTGTTCAATCGATATAAAAAGAAATCGGAATTTTTATTTTGGTTTTAAAGGGGGGAAATTTTAATGTTTTAAATATTCGATTTAAAAAAAAAAAGAGATTCAATTTTCCCTTTCATAAACTGGTATTTTCGATAACTTTATGTCCCCGAAAAATAAAACAAAATGTGTATAAATTATTTTCTAACAAAAA